CCCCCATGGCTCTGGGTGTTTCACCACCTGCAGCCTCAGAGGGAGACAGTTTAGGATCCGGAGGTCATCAGACCCACTTTTTGGTGGGAGGGAGGCCCCAGGGAAGGGGCTGGGACCTCTGGGTGCGTTCCCATCACCGCGACCTGGGTCACCTCACCTGCCTTCCCTGGACCCTTATTCCATCGTCCCCGAGGTTTCGTTGTCAGCACAGCAGAGCCTTCCTTGAGCCGACTTAGACAGGGAATGGGGTGCATGTTGGGTGCAGTGTACATCGGTTTGCACATCTTTAAAGTGGGGGTGACGATGGTATGCGTCTCACACGGCTGTGTCAGGATCCCATGGCGCACCCCGGGTGAACCCTAAGTCGGTCTGGCCCGCAGTGAGCGCAGAGCGCGTGAGACGTGGGTACAGAGTGAAAGGCGGGTAGCGGACAGGAGCGGTGTGCCCATGCGGGTCAGCGCTGTGAGCAGGGCACACGACGAATACCATGACGTGGCTAAGCATGACGTGGCGGCCCACGCCCACAGGGACCCCGAGGGCTCGGAGGAGGGAAATCGGGGCAGGCTTCCCGGAGCAGGCAGTGCCTCAAGATTGTCCAGGCCACACAAAGCTAAACAGATGGGACGTGACGCTGCTCTCGAGTGTCCAGGCAGGGGTTAAGGCCACCAGTGTTCTCGCTCGGACTCCTGTGGAGATGAACAGCTGTAACCCCACATTCTTTAGAAACATCTTTTTCCTAGAAAGTCCTCGATTTCTGTGCGTCTGCCCTTTCCTGGTTTACCCTCTGGCACACCGCTTCCTCCCATCAAGCTTTCCCGGCCCCAGCCCTGGCCGACAGTTCGGACAAGACGATCCTTTCTTGGGCAGCTGTCCTGTCTGTCGCAGGAGTTTGCCGGTGTCCGTAGCGTCTACACACTAGGTGCCAGTGGCACCCCCGCTGCCCCTTGTGACAACCAAAAATATCCCCAGACATCGTCAATTCAGACAAGAGGTCTCTTACTTTGAAAGCTAGGGTTTTCGTTTGTTTCCAGGTAGAAGAGCATTATCACTTGGTGACCCTAACAGTTTCTTTTTTTTTTTTAATTTATTTTTTTAGTTGAAGAAATGATTTAAATATTTCCCCCCTGTCTACCTCTCCCCTCTTCCCTCCCCACTCTTAATTCTCTCTAAAAGACATGATAGTCTACGGCCTTGCCACCCTGAACGTGCCAGGTCCCGTCTGATCTCGGAAGCTAAGCAGGGTCGGGCCGCGGCAGGGCAGCACGGCCGGGGCGCCGCGTGGCACAGATGTCACGACCCCAGAGCGTGCGCCCTGTTGCACAGACACCTCCAGAAAAGCAGAGCAGCCCCCAGAGCAGACAGGCACACCGTGACCCTGCGCGTCACTGTCGGTGTCGGTGCTGGATTCTAAGAATGGAGTCGTGAGGTTTTTTTCCTTTAATGTGTCTTAACTGTTGCTTGTCATTGTTTACAAGCTTGTGGGTTGAGGGCGCTGTCTCCAGGTCTTGGAGCCCTTGATAGCCAGACTGAGGTGTCTTGGTCACCATTTCACTGTCATGCTTCGATGTTTTTCTGTCTTGCTTTCTCCCATATGCCCCCAAGAGCAAAGGTTAATTTAAAGGTAAAGGTGAAGTTACTGTATAATCATCATTTTCACCTGCATTTTCTTTTTCAGTGCAGAAATTAAAAGTAAGTACAAAGCACGTGATCTGGAGTTTTGTCGTGTGTCGGAGTCACTGATAAACGTTGGCTGAGAGCAGTCCCCACTGCCCCCTGCACTTGTGAAGACACTTTGACCGCTTTACGAGGCTACACAGATCATTAAATATCTCTTTTCCTCACTCAGGATCGCTGACTCTGGGGGGGGGCACGTGGACCCCCATGGCTCTGGGTGTTTCACCACCTGCAGCCTCAGAGGGAGACAGTTTAGGATCCGGAGGTCATCAGACCCACTTTTTGGTGGGAGGGAGGCCCCAGGGAAGGGGCTGGGACCTCTGGGTGCGTTCCCATCACCGCGACCTGGGTCACCTCACCTGCCTTCCCTGGACCCTTATTCCATCGTCCCCGAGGTTTCGTTGTCAGCACAGCAGAGCCTTCCTTGAGCCGACTTAGACAGGGAATGGGGTGCATGTCGGGTGCAGTGTACATCGGTTTGCACATCTTTAAAGTGGGGGTGACGATGGTATGCGTCTCACACGGCTGTGTCAGGATCCCATGGCGCACCCCGGGTGAACCCTAAGTCGGTCTGGCCCGCAGTGAGCGCAGAGCGCGTGAGACGTGGGTACAGAGTGAAAGGCGGGTAGCGGACAGGAGCGGTGTGCCCATGCGGGTCAGCGCTGTGAGCAGGGCACACGACGAATACCATGACGTGGCTAAGCATGACGTGGCGGCCCACGCCCACAGGGACCCCGAGGGCTCGGAGGAGGGAAATCGGGGCAGGCTTCCCGGAGCAGGCAGTGCCTCAAGATTGTCCAGGCCACACAAAGCTAAACAGATGGGACGTGACGCTGCTCTCGAGTGTCCAGGCAGGGGTTAAGGCCACCAGTGTTCTCGCTCGGACTCCTGTGGAGATGAACAGCTGTAACCCCACATTCTTTAGAAACATCTTTTTCCTAGAAAGTCCTCGATTTCTGTGCGTCTGCCCTTTCCTGGTTTACCCTCTGGCACACCGCTTCCTCCCATCAAGCTTTCCCGGCCCCAGCCCTGGCCGACAGTTCGGACAAGACGATCCTTTCTTGGGCAGCTGTCCTGTCTGTCGCAGGAGTTTGCCGGTGTCCGTAGCGTCTACACACTAGGTGCCAGTGGCACCCGCTGCCCCGGTTGTGACAACCAAAAATATCCCCAGACATCGTCAATTCAGACAAGAGGTCTCTTACTTTGAAAGCTAGGGTTTTCGTTTGTTTCCAGGTAGAAGAGCATTATCACTTGGTGACCCTAACAGTTTCTTTTTTTTTTTTTAATTTATTTTTTTAGTTGAAGAAATGATTTAAATATTTCCCCCCTGTCTACCTCTCCCCTCTTCCCTCCCCACTCTTAATTCTCTCTAAAAGACATGATAGTCTACGGCCTTGCCACCCTGAACGTGCCAGGTCCCGTCTGATCTCGGAAGCTAAGCAGGGTCGGGCCTGGTTAGTACTTGGATGGGAGACCACCTAGGAAGACCAGGCGCTGTAGGCATAAAAAATAAATAAAAA